GGCTTTTGAAAGCCGTCCGGGACAGCGGAGAAACGCAGCGCGCCCTTGCCGCTGCCCCCCGACTTGGCTGGAAGGCTGGTGGGGGAGAAGCCTGCTCCTCCCCATCGCCAGCCCCGCAAACTCGGGGGACAGCGGGAGAGGCGCAGCTCGCCCTTCCCGCTGCCCCCCGACTTGGCTGGAAGGCTGGCGGGGGGAGAAGCCTGCTCCTCCCCATCGCCAGCCCCGCAAACTCGGGGGACAGCGGGAGAGGCGCAGCTCGCCCTTCCCGCTGCCCCCCGACTTGGCTGGAAGGCTGGCGGGGGGAGAAGCCTGCTCCTCCCCATCGCCAGCCCCGCAAACTCGGGGGACAGCGGGAGAGGCGCAGCTCGCCCTTCCCGCTGCCCCCCGACTTGGCTGGAAGGCTGGCGGGGGGAGAAGCCTGCTTCTCCCCATCGCCAGCCCCGCAAACTCGGGGGACAGCGGGAGAGGCGCAGCTCGCCCTTCCCGCTGCCCCCCGACTTGGCTGGAAGGCTGGCGGGGGGAGAAGCCTGCTCCTCCCCATCGCCAGCCCCGCAAACTCGGGGGACAGCGGGAGAGGCGCAGCGCGCCCTTGCCGCTGCCCCCCGACTTGGCTAGAAGGCTGTGGGGGGGAGAAGCCTGCTCCTCCCCGTCGCCAGCCCCGCAAACTCGGGGGACAACGGGAGAGGCGCAGCACGCCATCCCGCTGTCTCCCGACATGGTTTGGAGGCTGGCGGAGGGCTTCCTCCTCCCCCAGCCCCGCAAGCTCCCAGAGCGATGCCAAAGCTGCGCGCAGCTTCGGCATGGCTCTGGGTCCCGTTCTGGGGGAGGGGGAAGCTCGGGCTTTCCCCGCCCCAGCCCCACGCCTGGCGGTGGGGGAATAATTTTTCCCCCTTTATTCCCCCCCCCGCCAATTTTTCCCGCGGCACACCAGGCAACGTCTGGCGGCACACTAGTGTGCCGCGGAACACCGGTTGGGAAACACTGGTTTAAGTAAAAAATTATTCTTATTCTTATTTGTATGATTGCGACTGTGTGGAGAGGGAGAAGAAGTTGTGCTTCCTGGCCTCACCTTCTTTGTCCGTATATTTGGGGAAGTGTCTATGTAAATTAGACCCTGTTGCATGTTCATAGGCTCACTCCATGATTTTCTCTTCCCCCCCGGGGGTGGGGTGGCGGCTGTGGGAGCACATGAGAGCACTGTCAGAGCCAGAAGGTTTAGATGCACCCTATCCACTATGCAGTTGCATAGAGGTGCATAGAATATCCCCAAACAGCTACAATCTCATATCCCGCCCCCAACCTCCATGCAAAAACATGGGCAGGGGATAGAATGTTCTCTCTGTTGTGTATTTCTCTGTGATGACATCTTTGAATGGGGTGGAGGGGTCAGGGTTACCGGACAACAGCTGCAGGGTGAAAAAGAAAGTCTTTGGGCCTTTTAAATACAGTGGTGCCTCGCAAGACGAAAAGAATCCGTTCCGCGATTCTCTTTGTCTTGCGGTTTTTTCGTCTTGCGAAGCAAGCCCATTAGCGGATTAGCGCTATTAGCGGTTTAGCGGATCAGCTGATTAGCGGCTTAGCGGCTTAGCGGATCAGCTGTTAAGCGGCTTAGCGGATCAGCTGATAAGCGGCTTAGCGGCTTGGGGAAAAGGGGGGGGGAGGGAAAAACCCCTGCAGGAACTCGCAAGACATTTTCGTCTTGCGAAGCAAGCCCATAGGAAATTCGTTTTGCGAAGCACCTCCAAAACGGAAAACCCTTTCGTCTAGCGGGTTTTCCGTCTTGCGAGGCATTCGTCTTGCGGGGCACCACTGTAATGAGATATGTCAGAATGCTGTGGATAGCAGGAGAGGATATATTGATGAAATATTATCCTTCCTCACTCACACTAGTGAGTTTGTAGCAGAGTACATTCCCCTGTATATTGCAGGAAGCTAGTTGGTAGATTCATTTGAATCTCTCGAGTTAATGCATCCAGTCTAGATTGGATTTGTTCCTGGTCAATTCCCCTTAAATCTTCTCTTAAAAGTAATGAGAAGTTTACTTACATTCAGTTCACAGTAGGTTCCCTGAAGGCAAGCTTTAGCTTGTAGCTACAGAAGAAAGTGTGGGTTAATCCACGTGGGGATTGAGCCCTTGAGCTGCTGCCTGAGAGCCAGCAGACAGCAAAAGTATCAGGAGAGGAAGATGGCTGTGTGACCAGCCCTTTTATGGGGTCTCACAGGGTCACACTTATCTGCCTGGTCACACCGGGGGGGGGGGGGGGAGGACCAGACCAGTGTCACAGGAAGTCCACCTGGCTGGAGTAACATCTCCCTGTCCACTTTTTGACTGCTTTCTGTGATGTTACATCCCACAAGATAAAGGAAAATGTTTAGAGCAGGGGTCGGCAAACTGTGGTCTGTGAGCTGGATACAGCCTGAGGGGGTCCTTAAACCGGCCCTTGGCGCCTGCTTGGTCAGTCTCCGCATGGAGCTAAACCAGTTCAGCACACTGGTTTAGCTCTGCGCAGGGACTGACTTCTGGGATGCAGCCACAGCTTCCTATTGGCTGCAGGAAGCTCCTGCAGCCAATAGGAAGCTGCAGACACTGCCTTCTCCCCCGCCATGGCTCCGAAAGCCAGCGGGAAAAAATCAGCGGGCGTGTGCATGCTCACGTGCGCAGGCGATCCAGCCTGCTGGCGGAAAAGTTTGCCGACCCCTGGTTTAGAGCATCTTCTTTACAATTAGCCATTAGGAAGAAGCAAACGTACTCCCACCTTCGAGTGCTTTGTCCCATGAGTGCAAAGCCGCTGGGGTAATTGACAACAAGAACAACAACAAGTTTTTATTTATACCCCGCCCTTCCTGGTTCAAAAACCGGGCTCAGGGCGGCTAACAACAAATTTAAAACACTTTAAAACAATTATAAAAGCAGCATAAAATACAGTATAAAAACATGTATAACAATAAAATTTAAAATTCAAAAATCAATTAGATAATCTCCAGGGCTAGCTGGCTGAATTGGTCCTACTTGGGCCAGCAAGGAGGCCAGGGGAGAATTAGCTGTGGGGTTTCAGAGTGGGTGATCTTCATAAAAGGGGAGGGGGAAGGGAAGAGAAGGGAAATAAAAGATCAGGCTGAATTCAAATGAAAGGCCAGGCGGAATAGCTCTGTCTTACAGGCCCGACAGAAGGAGGTTAAATTCTGAAGGGCCCTAGTCTCATGGGACAAGGAAAGCAAAGGAGTGGTGCTCTGCTACGGTGAGCCAGTGCTTAGGTTCCTGGAGAGCACTTAGCAAATGCTTTGCTGCTCACTGGTCTGCTAGGACTAAGGTTTGGCATTGCATGCTGTAGGAATCCAGGCTTGTGGTTCAGGTCTCTACAGACTAACCGCAAGCTGAAAAACAGGAAATAGATAGGCACGGAAGACCTGGGGAGGATCAAAGCAGCTGCAAGCACATTTCTGGGAGCTGGCGCATTTGCGCTAAGTCAAGGCTTGTCTTAGTGTGACATATGGCCCAGGCCTTTCCTTCCGTCACTAGTGGAATGCTCGCCCCAGGGAGGCCTGCCTGGTGCCTTCCTTATAAACCTTTAGATGGCAGGTGAAAAGGTTCCTCTTCAACCAGGCCTTTGGCTGATTAATATCCTATTTTATTCAAAATGTGGTTGTGAGATGGAGGGTTATTGTTTTGTTCTTATTCTGCATTTTGTGTTTTTATATTGTGTTTTTATGCCGTGTACCTCCCTGAGATCTGTGGGTGAAGGATGGTATGCAAATTTAATAAATGATAGTAAAAATTAATAATAATAATAATAATAAGTGCTTCTTTCCATTGTAGCACATTTTCAGTGGTAGCATCCCAGCTAGCCGGTTAAGATATGACTGTTTCAGAGGGTACTTGAGCCTGCACAAAATTGCTTGCCCTGTGGTCTTGTTTATGTTTTCATGCTGTCATTTTTGACTTTTATGTTTTGATTTTTATTGTTTTTAATGAAACTTGGCATACTACAGGTGAGTATGCATCCTTCTCGTAGCAAGACAGATACAGTGCCCAATATCCAACCATTCTAGAAAGGAAAAAAAGATGATTCTGATTGGAGCTTGAGAGTTTATTCATTATGGAAATAATCTCTGGCCTCCAGGCCTGAATTGCATCCTGAAGTTTTGTGGTTAGAGCAGTTAATTTTGCTTCCCTTAGTTTGGAATTTGACTCCCAAGTACTTTGCAAATAATCTGTTTCTTGCCTGTAGACATAAAATAGGTTTCCTGATATTTCTTGGAAAGGTATGTGTTAGATTTTTTTTTTTTTTAATGTAATGGAGTTTATTTCTGCTAAGCCACTTCCCGAATGGTAGAGCTGGAAGGGAGAGGTATAAATGATGTATATAAAACAAATAATTTCAAGGATGATTTCCTAGGAAAGTGGTTCTTGTTTCTGGCATAGAATGACTATTTTAAAGTGGATGTGTGTAAGAGACTTAAGGTAAGGTAAAGGCAAAGGTACCCCTGCCCGTACGGGCCAGTCTTGTCAGACTCTAGGGTTGTGCGCTCATCTCACTCTATAGGCCGGGAGCCAGCGCTGTCCGCAGACACTTCCGGGTCACGTGGCCAGCGTGACAAGCTGCATCTGGCGAGCCAGCGCAGCACACGGAACGCCGTTTACCTTCCCGCTAGTAAGCGGTCCCTATTTATCTACTTGCACCCGGGGGTGCTTTCGAACTGCTAGGTTGGCAGGCGCTGGGACCGAGCGACGGGAGTGCACACCGCCGCGGGGATTCGAACCGCCGAACTTTCGATCGGCAAGTCCTAGGCACTGAGGCTTTTACCCACAGCGCCACCCGCGTCCCAATGTAAGAGACTTGACTTAATGAAGGCTTAATCTAATGTTGGTTAATGTGTTGCTCCTTTGTAATTGGAACTATATATATATTCAAATGAAGTAGGTTCTTTTAAATAAAAAATAATAATAACCAAATAAATAATAACAAACAGGGCTGACTGTTTTGTTGTCTCATTTTTAGGATATGATGATCCGTCAGAGACAAACTTGATACCGCATAGCATTCACTCTGTCAAACACGGGCAAGAAAATCGTCCCAGACCTATTCGCAGGAAAAGAAGTGTTGGTAAGGAATGGGAGAACCAAACCTATATTTTAAAAAAAATTTTAAAAAAATACCACGAGGCTGGGATGGAAGGACTGGTCCTGAAAAATGAGTCTTTTTTTAAGGGCAGAAAGAAAAATGACCTTATAAACCAGGCATAGGCAAACTCGGCCCTCCAGATGCTTTGAGACTACAATTCCCATCATCCCTGGCCACTGGTCCTATTAGCTAGGGATGATGGGAGTTGTAGTCCCAAAACATCTGGAGGGCCAAATTTGCCTATGCCTGTTATAAACCCAAGGAGGACACACCCCCATACACTTTATTATTATTATTTTCTGCTCTTTTGCACAAGCCAGTCAACTTCTAGTGGGGTAGCTCATCCAGAAAATTATTTCTTTTGCTGCAGGATGCTCATGTGGAAATGTGAGTTTGGAAATGCAGTGCAGTGTCTGTTCCTTTCAGTTGTTTTCAGATGAGGCGCCGGCCACAGACTGGTGCAACTCTGAGATCACGTTGGGAAGAGTTAATTAAATAATGGAAAGCCTAAGGTCTAAGCTAATGCCCAACGCATCCTTCAACTTAACAAAATGTATCATACACAGCCTTTAACTTAACAAAATGTATCATACAAACTGCGGAGCTGGGAGGAAGTCGCTGCAATTTATTTTAAAATATTACATCAATCTTCACCCTAATAAACGGTGCTCTTAATAGTAATGTTCTGGCAGAAGCAAGGGTGTTGGAATTAAATGGGTACTAATTGACCTTAAACAGCGGTGTTTTATGAACGTGCATTGTTACAACCTGCTTGCTCTGAAGATACCCTCTGCCAGATCAAATATAATATCTGAGCTATCAGAACAGAAGGCTGCTTTTAAAACAGAGCAGAATTGCTATCGTCTGTAGCCTGTTTTGCTATCAGGTAGACCGAGATTGCTACCCCGGACTGCCCACTGAAAGCTGCACTGCTTTTGCTCTTTATTTTTGCATTTATTGTTCCTGAGTCATTGTGGACTGTGTGCTGCTTGCTTATTTATTTATTTATTTATTTGAAATACCCCCTCCCCCCCCTTTTAAGCCAAAACGCAGAGCTTCATCACAGCTAGGCTGTGTGTTATTTCAGGTGTGATCAGAAGGCACAAATACGGTGACAATCATTTATATCTCACACAGGACAGGAAGAATAGACTCCCCTACAGTCCCATGGTGGACTTTGGAGAGATCTCCTTGGTTAGAGGATATTCTTGCATGCTATCTGCACAGTGTGCCAATATATCCTTTCGTTCATGATGTCCTGAATGCCCTTATGGGTGAAGAATGCAAGGACATCCCAATATGCTTGCAACGGTTCTTGTTTATTATATACTGCAAGAGCAGGGAGAGGAGTTCCCCCTAGCATTGCCACACGTAGACCGGGGGTCCGGCACACAGCTGGCAGGCTTGTTTCAAAGCAAAGGCCGTCGCTTATCTGGGTACACCATTTCCCTCTCTGCAGAGGAAGCCATTCCTGCCGTCTGCAAAACGCGAACCGTTATATACGAGATACCTCGGAGTCAGATCGACCCGACGTCTGCTAACTTTCTGATATGGCCGCCGTGCGTGGAGGTGAAGCGTTGCACGGGCTGTTGCAACACCAGCAGTGTGAAATGCCAGCCGTCACGGATACACCACAGAAACGTCAAGGTGAGGAGAAATGGAACTCAGGTGCAGCGGTGCGGGCGGGTGGGTGTTTTGAGGGAAGAGGGGGTTCAGCATTTTGTTCGGATCCTGTCGTTTTCATTTTTCTCGCCTTGGCAGCCAAGGGAGGTTATTCGGTTGTTTCTGTTTTGATTTTGGTTATGTATTCTGTGTTTTTGTATTGTGATTTTATCCCGTGAACCCACCCGCCCCCCGAGACCTGCCAGTATAGGGCGGTATACAAATCGAATAATATTTTTTAAAAATCATCATCATCCCTCAGTGTGAATTCCTGTTGGTTCTCACTTGGTTACAGCTTTGCTCAGCCTTTCTCAACCTGGGTACAGTCGTACCTTGGTTCTTGAACGTAATCTGTTCCGGAAGTCTGTTCAACTTCCAAAAATGTTGGAAAACCAAGGCATGGCTTCCAATTGGCTGCAGGAGCTTCCTGCACTCAATTGGAAGCTGTGGAAACCGCGTTGGACGTTCGGCTTCCAAAAAACATTCGCAAACTGAAACACTTGTGGTGTTTGGGAGCCAAAACGTTTGAGTACCAAGGCGTTCGAGAACCAAGGTGTGACACCACTTGCAGCTGATTTCAGACTGCAAGTCTCATCACCCTTCGTTGGTATGGCCAGTGATAGTACCAAATTACTGGTTAATACCTAAATTGGGGAAAGCTGCCTTTTAGTTAAACGTTTTTCTTCTTCCTAGAAGTGCACTGCAAGCAGTGCTGATGGTAAACGCTTTAAAGAATAGCTAAGCGAGTTAGCTGTTGTGGTGATAAATGAGGACTCTTCCATACTTCCACTAGAGATTTGCTCCGATTCAGTGTTAAAAGAGTGGGATTTCCAGGGTAAAGTGGTGGAGCAAATGGAAAACCACTTAGAAACATGCCTAGAAAGTACGGAATGAGCAGAAAACCACTCAAACCCATGCTTCCTAGGTGGGGGACAAACAAAGTGTGGACGAGCTCTGAGTGTAGTGACTTTCGGTGTGCAGTGCTTTTGTTTCTCCCCCATTATAAGCAAGAGCAAACTGGCCCATTTAGCTGTTTACAACCTATGATGCTGCTTTATGCTGAGGGCTCATCCACATTTGAGTTGGGATAGCTCAGTCAGTAGAGCATCAGAATCTTAAATCTGGATGGCCCTTGTGGTCCCTTCCAACAATTCTGTGGTTCGGTTTGTCCTGCCATTTCCCCCCAGGAAAATACACTGCTTACCGCTGAATCGGAGCAAACATCAATTGCTTTTTCTGTCTGATGGACATTGGTTCCAATTCAGTGGCCAACAGCGGGTTTTCCTAGAGAAAGCAGTGGAGTGGGAGAAACAAAAAAACCTTTCGGACCCAGTTTTCTACACACAGGACAGCTGTCAGTGTAAACAAGCCCTTGGTCATCAGGCCATTTGTCTTTCTGGCTTAGTGGTTCTCCAGGTTTTCAGGCAAGGCTCTCCCAGCTCTTCCTGAAGACATTTTGCATTCAAACTTTGTGTTCTACCCGAAGTTACTACCTTTTAGAGAAACCCTGAAAATTAAAACATCCATGCTCACACTGCGAGTGTGGCCTGGAACACACTAAACAATCCTTCGCCTTTTTGCAGGGAAGTATGTAAAGAATGAAGTGGCACAGATTAGGGGTGGTGTTTTGTTTAAAAAATAAAATATTTTTTCTTTTGTTTTATCCCCCTCTGGGGTCAGTTATGACCCCAAATGTGTAGGAATGCTAAATAGAATTATCAAGCAAACAGGCCTGATTATGCCTTTCCCACAAACTCCCACAGCCTTGTTCTTGATTTTAAATGATAAAATGACTCAGGGGACATTTTGAATGTAAAAATCCTTGTACAGTCATGTTTCCTTAATTAAATATTATGTAGGCTAAATTGGGCTTTTATTTGTGGAAATACAGTGCTTTTGATCTGCTGGTGGGAGGGAAATGTGTTTCATATATTCTCATCTCCTGGGATTTGAGATTCCTTATGGCTTGATTCCACATTTACTCATTAGGCGAAATCCATTTTTTCTGCTTGCCACAATCTATCAAACAGACATTTTGGAAAAGGAGTGGTATTTGTTTGTTAGGTTGGGCTTGGTCCCCCTGTTAACTGTATGCTGGTTCAAATCAGCAGCACCCATTTGCCAATGCATCTGCAACACACACACACACACACACACACACACACACACACACACATCCATCCTTCCAACTCTACCATTCGATGATTCTATGAAAAGTAAAACACATAAAGAACAAATTCAGGAGTCTCCTCCCAAGACCTGGGCAAATAGATAAAAGCTATGAAAAGAAAGTATTCATTCAAATATATTTTGAATATCGGTGTTGTTTTGCATGAAAAAGAATAGGAAGAGGTTTGTATCAACTTAAATTAATAATCTGCACATTCTAAGTATCAGCACACGTATAACTTAGTGCACCTCATTGGGTCAGCAACAAGGCTAGGGTCTTTGGGTTTATGAAGGAGGAAAACTGGTCATTGATGGGAGCTAGTATGTATATGTTTTGTGCAGACGTATAGCTGAAGAAGTGACTAATGCGAAATAGATAAGTACCGGTAATCTGTATTATATATCAGAGAAGCAAATTTCGTACAATAGTAAGTTCCTGTGAAAGAGCTTTATCAGTGGGGAAGGAAGTTTTTTAACACGGAAAGCTCCTGTAAAAGTATCAAGATAAAATTTCGTTGGAGCAAATGTTATTGTAGTAATTGATAAGATATTGCCTGCCTGGGTTGTTTGTCTTTTTTTGCTGTGCAAATAGGTAGGCTTTTCAGCTGGCACTGATAACCCCTTTATTTAAAATTGGTGCCAAGATTTCAATATGATAGAATGCACCTCCGCACAATGATGTTCCCTGTACATAGAAAGCCATTATGTCAGGAAGGAGACCAGGTTGCTGTGCTTTCTCATTAGAAGTGTGGACTGCCTTATATGGAGTCACATCACTGGCCCATCTATAGGAGCATCTAAACCTCTGGCTAGCAGCAGCAGCAGCTGTCCATGGTCCTGGGCACCTGCTCCCCGAGATCATTTTTTTTAGCTGGAGACATCTGTAATTGAACTTCCCTGGTTAATAGCTCATAAAATATAGCTATCTCACCTGCCCACACATACTTGGGTTTCCTTTCCTAATAGCCTGGAGATTGCTTTCATCTGATTACTTTCTTTTATCTTCTACTTGCTTTATTACATTTGTATAAGTTCTTTGGGCGATTTCCATTAAAAGAAACCCCCACCCAAATACAATTTGTGATAAAAACACCAAAACAAAGCAAATCAATCTATTAAAACCATAACATTCAAATGAATATGTATTTTAATTAATTGATTGTGATTATATGTAAACTGTGTTACTTTTACTGTTGTTAGCCGCTCTGAGCCCGGCTTCGGCTGGGGAGGGCGGGATATAAATAAAACATTAATTATAATTAAAATTCCAGATGAAGCAAGCAATCAGTTAAACATTAAAAAGTAACAATCCAAATTTGTTGTTGTTCATTCGTCATATAAATACTTCAGTGGTCCTCTTAATAACCCTGTCCTAAATCTTCATTTCTCTCTGAAAGTCTAGGTAAAAAGATATGTATTTACTCGCCTTTGCTGAAGAGGTCATATGCATCTCCTGCAGGACAAAATTCCATAGGCTGGAGTGGGGGGTGGGGTTGTACTCAGGAGACCCTATCCTGTCCTGTCCTATAACTTGTGTTGATAAGCAGCATTGGCAGTTAAATAAGTGGAAGAACCTATAGAAGGGCTTCTGGAGAAGATTCAAAATACCTGGGCAAGTGTGTCTGGGAGAAAGCAACGTTACTTTGCAACTAAGGTAGCACAGCACCACATCGATCCAAATGCATCTTCCAGCTCAGCAATTCTGCGATTCTCTCTTGCCCACTTGTGTTAAACTTAAATTGAAAACAAACCACTTTGGGAAAGGGCGCAGTGCAGTTTTGATATTCAGATGTTGTTGCCGCACGCAACCTTCCATCAGGCTTCCCGGAACCAATTCTATTTTCAAGTGAGTCCTTAAATACATATATATAGCTCCACAATACGCTTGGCAAACATTAATTTTAAAAGCAAAGGAGGATCGGAGACAAATCTAATTAACCTGCAACCTCAAGAACAAACACAGCTGTTTAGCAAACATGAGCTGCCTGCTGCTGCAGTATTTATGGTGGATGGAGATTGCGTTGCTCCTTTTGATGCGGAGAGATGATTGGGGTCCTCAAAGGTAACTCTGCACTGCAGATAAGCCTGTAAGCGGTTTTGACTTGCCAGAGTTGACTGGTTAGCTCTGAGCATCATTTAACTTGGGCCTCCTTGAGGCATTTGGGGGCAGTTGCTCGGGGTGGG